CCCGAGATTCGGATAATTCCGGATCTCCTTACCTTCCGTCGCGCCCTCAAGACATGGCTCTTTCAGCAAGCGGACCTGACCTAGGGTGGATTTTATACTGGGTCTTTTAGGAATTTGAAAGACGCAACTCTAAATTTGGTTTAATTCGGTTTTAAGGGGGGNTACTTTTGGAAAACATCACAGAGAGAAAATATTTTCCTGATAAATCAAGGTTAAAAATTAGTTTCTGAGCCCAACATATATTTAAATATATGTTTAAAACAAAATTAAAAAGTAAAGAAGTAAAAAAAGAAGTTTCACTTCTTTTAAAAGGCATAAAAAAAGAAATGAAAGGAGAAAAGGAAAAAAAACTATTTGAGGAAGAGGTTGTGCAGTTAGCGCTCAGTTATCATGGATGAGAAATTAAACTATAAAAAGGAACATTAAATTATTTTAACAATATGGGAAAAGATCTGAGTCTCTAGACTAAGTGCCAAATTCTCTGTACATTATTGAAAAATGCAGATAACAGACATACACAGACAAAATATAAAGAAGATAAAAAGCTTTAAAAATAGTTTCTAAATATTTATAAACACTATCATTTTGAGGTATTTCTGACTTCAGTTCTTTAATCATTTAATTAAATATGGATGACATAGGAAAATGTGTTATTAGAATCGCACGGTTTCAGCAAGCCACACAATTATGTCCATGGATAATGCTTCAGTGGTACAAATGCCTACTTTGCTGACTGGAATCTGGACATAAGGGAAGTTGACAGCACAATTCAACTTGGAGGGGAAACGTAGCTGCTCCATTTTCCATGTCCCTAGCAGGAGCTCTTCTACCAGCCCTTTATCTTCCACGTGTTTCCGCTTCCCCTTAACTGTTGCTATCTTTGCTTACCCACAACCCGAAACAAGCACTCCTCGATTGCCCAGAGAACAGAAATCAAAGTGCCCGCTAAGCATCCAGGGTTTACACTTCCTCCCTATGATGCCCAGGCAGAGGCTTCTACCCGTGGTCCGTTTATTCACGTTACCCGGTTCTTGGGCTTCGTTGGCAAAGAAGTTGATGTTTAGTTCTTTGCTACTATGGCAACTAAAGAACCTCTTCTCTGAGCATCATGGAGTTGTAGGGCAAAGGTAAATGGAAGGAAAAGGTATGCTTTTCTACTGGGCACAACACTCCTCAATCCTGGGCTATGAAAGAGGACCAGTGCCTTTTTCCTGATTTAAACCCACAAGTTTTAGAGCATTTTAGAAAGATTATATTTTTTCATGGTAAATATCTATCCTATCAAGTAAGTAAAAAAAAAAAAGTATGTAAAGATATGCATGCCTACTTTAGTGTACGTTCCACCAAGTACAATGAAATTTGGTCTGGGGTAAATTTATGGGGGGTATAAATTTATACAGGATAGAAAGCATTTTAAAATGCATGTTAGGGGAACATCTTTCATTGGGCACTCTAAGATCACAAAATTGGGTTTTTCATATTTTTCAGAACTGTTCATTTGGCAAGATGATAAATTGGAAGAATTTACTAGGAAAAAATGAAGAAAATGTTCCTGCTTTAGCTAGTTGCCACCTTGAATCAATAAGTTTGGTGGGAAATAAATAATAATAATAATAAACATGACATATGCATGAGACACATTAGTGATAGGCAAGTAATATTTTACTACCATGTTTTAAGTGATTCATTTCTTATGTTGTTATATCGCTTTTATTGCATTTTATTAGTTAGTAATGCAAATAGCCAGTCTGATTTGGTGAATAAGGCATCAGACTTTGGCACAGAAAGAAACTGGGGGATTTGGGGCTGGTCACCCTCTGTCTACTCTAGGAAGAAGGCATGTGGTAGTGGAAAGGCTGTTCCTGGGGGTGTGTGAATGAAAAACACCAAGAGTCACTACTTCCAGCAAGGTCACCCAAGACAGGAAGATCATCTCACCACTCAGGGAGGCAAGGAGGAACTTACAGGTATTTGTTACACAAGTGTGCTCTCACATTCAGTTTATGATCACTCACTCACACTCTCACAGCCCTGGAAAATTATCACACTCAAACCAATTTGAACTGAACACCGAGACACGAATGACTCTTTAAAACACACAGAGACCCAGTGAATTTAAAATAACAGCAGACTTTTACTGATTATGAAGTAGATCTATTTGGTCTTACACACACAAACACACACACACACACACACTCATCCATACTTACCCCACATCCACAACTAAGCTGCCTGGCACTAGCCAGAGGGACGGAAGCCGCCAAGTCCTGATCCAAAAATGACTCCAAAGGCTGGGTAGGCCTCAGAACCCCTTTTGATCCCCCAGAGTGCTGATGGGAGGAGCTTCCCATGCAGACCCAACTCCTTGGTTGCCAGATATGGGGAGGGGCTTGCCATGTGCTCAGGCCAAACCTTCGTTCTTTCCTTCATACCTTTTTTTCTTGGCTTTTCTCCACCCTGCTTACATGCCTTCACCACTGTTGGTTGTGGTAGCTTCGGCCTAGGCTAAAATATTCCTTGCTTAACAAACAGTGGCTTTGCATTCAGAGCTCTGATGCTCCTCCCAAAGTACTTATGACCCAGTTCCAGAGTTCTGATGCCATTTGCTCCCCACACTGTCGCATGACTCTCTTTACAGCCAATTGCAGTGTTTTTTCCTAGTAACCAGAGTTTTGGACTGGTTTCTGGCAAAGAAATGGCTGTAAGAATGTACAGGTAGTCCTCGAGTTAAAAGTGTAATGGAGCCTGCCCATTCCACCCTTAACTAGAAAACTTGTAGAGTTAATCTCATACCTTGAACAAGTTCACCCCCTTGTTCGTTAAAACGCACATGTCTTGTTAAGTAAACAAGAGGTATCTCAGGGTAGGGAAGACTATGGAGGGCCTAGTGATGGAACAGGCCCCCAAGGCCTCCCCAACCCACTAAGATAACTCATGCTTCCCCCTTCCTTCTTGCCATGCCTGACTCACCTGGAAAAGATCCGTCTCTTCTCTGCTGTGGTTCCTGCTGCCACCCGGATCTGAGGCTAGGGGACACTTCTGCAGCCTCCCCGTGGCCTGATCCGGTCTCTGGAAGCCTTTTGCAGGCTGCTGCCCCCTGGAAATGGGTCACCAAAGGCCTCTGAAGACTGGATCAGGACATGGGGCGTGTGGAAGTGTTCCCGGCTTCAGATCCGGGTAGCAGCAGCCTGGAAAAGGTCTTCGGAGCCCAGATCAGGCCCGGGGGGGGGGCACGGAAGCATTCCCTGGCCTCAGATCCGGTTTGCAGCAGCCTGGAAAAGGCCTCCAGAGCCTGGATTGGGCCGTGGGGGGGCACAGAAGTGTTCCCCGGCCTTAGATCTGGGTGGCAGTGGCCTGGAAAAGGCCTCCCATACCCAGATTGGGCATCCGGTGGGCCGCGGAAGCATTTCCCTGCCTCAGATCCGGGCGGCACCAGCCTGGGAAAGGCCTCCAACTCCCTGATCCAGCCTCCAGTGGCATGTGGAGGCGTCCCCCTGGCTTTGGTTCCATTCTCTGTTGCAGAGGCCTAAAGTACCATGAGATCACATGAGATCAGTAGCGTGAGATCTCGCCTCACTAAACTTGTGTGATCTTGTGTTACTTTAGGCTTCCATTCTGTGCAAATGCACTGAAGGCCTGGAGCAGCCAAGAAAGTGAAGGATTTCGATCTTTGCAGGGTGAGTATTGAAGGCCTGGTGCCTAGGGATACCCGGGGCAGGGGTGAGGAGGGAGGGAATAACCAGGGTAAATGTTGCAGAGCCACTGTGGTCGCTCGTAAGGATGAACGACTGCTGTGGCGCTGCAATATTCGTAATTTTGGGACTTGCTCGTAAGCACTAGGGGGCGCTCATCATGTAACTTTGAACGAGAGTTAAGTGAACACTCGTAACTCGGGGATTACCTATATTGACTTGCTTAACAACCACAGTGTTTGCTTAATGATCGCAGCATTTGCTTTACAACTGAGGAGTTCACTTAACAGCCACTGCAAAAAAGATTGTAAAGTCAGGTTGGTCACATGGGTGCCTTTATTTATGATAGTCATAACTTATCATGGAAATTCTGAGCTCTATTACAGTCATAATTTGAGGACTGTGTATACTGGATAGCAGTGTCATGATAGGAAGATGTTAGATAAACCCTTCAGTGGCAATGGCAAGGGGATTATTTCATACGGCATGGGACAAGGCAATGATAAACCTCTCCTGTATTTCATTCAAAATGCAGATGTAGACAAAGGGGTGAGAAATGGCTATATGCACTCTCCTTATTAATTCAACCTATATATTCAATATATATGAGGGAGGTGAGATTGGGAAAAAATTAGTGGGGCTTTAAATTTGGAGGAAGAAACAGCAATAATTTGATCTTGAACTATATGTAGCTCTAATGAAATGGACAGCTATCATATATAAGTTTGACAAATATATTTGCATCATAATAACACATTTTGCTTCAAAATACATAATTTAACTCATTGCATAGTTATGCAGCTTTTCTTTGTGTTACAGGACTGATAGAAGGTTTGTAAAAAGCTGGCATTATACAGAGCCATTTAAAAACCAAGGAGAATTTTGAACTGGTTTTAAGTACTTGAAAATCATATTTTTCTTTTTCATGTTGTAAGGCAATATAGATTTTTTTTTCTTTCAGGATTTTACAGTTTGGAGAATTTACTCTGACCAGAAGAGTAAGGAAGATCCTTGAATGCCCTAAGTGATTTTAGAAAAAACTGTCAAGACCAGTTTTTGTCTTACCAACCCTTAAAGACACAGATTCCTCTCCTCCTACTCCTCTTGGGTGCCTCATTCTCCCCCCCACACTCACTCCAGTAACTTGCAATGATTGGTGCCTTGCAAGTCCCTGGCCTTTTAAGGGCTGCCAACCGGTCAATCTAAAGTGACAAGCAGGTGAAGACCCTCGCAACAGATACTCTCACAAACCAATCGTCTCATGGTTCTTCAGTTCTGGAAATACCCGAGAGCCAATGAAGTGAGGCAGGGGGAAGGACGAGGGACCAGCTGAACTTAGGAGAAGTGGAGATGCCCTGGGGATTCTCTCTGCCTGCCAAGCTGCTGCAGGGCCGCTAACCCTCCGCTTTTTTGTGCGCACTGGAGGCTGCAGCCGTGCTGTTTCTGGTGCCAAGTCTCTCTGTAGTGCTGTTGTCAAAATGGTGATCAAAGTGTTTGTGGCAACGTCCTCGGGGTCGACAGCGGTAAGTATATGCACGTGATTTATGCGTGTCTGCAGAAGTCTTCGGAAGCTACTTGTTTGCTTGTTGTTTAAGAAAGGGGCGTGATGCTGCTCCACGCTCTAGCCCACGACAAAGATGTGCCCCCAAATCACTCTCTCTCTCTCTCTCCCTCTCCCCTCTCGCTTTGAAATTCTCCAAGGGTGCAGCCTTGTTAGTCCTGTTGTTGCAACCAAAGTTAATGTCCAGAGCCTCAGAGAAATATTTTCTTTCTTAGCTTGCCGATTCCTGTATTACAAATTAGTCTATTCACCCTGTAGCGAAAATACAAAATATTTATTTCATACAGATGGAAAATGCACAGCATGTTAATGTTTTATTTTTAGCAACCTTGGTAAGAACTGGTTAAAGTATGCTAATTACATACTGGAAGATAATAACAGTCTCTGATTGATTACATTAGGGGAGAAAGCACTTTCTTTTAATAGAAAGATGCAGGGGATATATTAAGGGATTCCTTTCTCCAGCTATACACATATTATCTCCAATTTCTTTTAAGGTTATTTTAAGCTTTCCTATATTACTATCCTGTATCTTGGTGGTGGTATCTGTTCTTAGAACCATTATGTTTGCTGAAGTAAAGAAAGAGTAGGCGAAGGGGAGGTGGGAACTGGGCATGAACAGTTTCCTTTTATATCCAGTTCCGACATGAGCTCAAATTACTGTCTTGGCTGAGCAATCAGTCACAGTGACATGTCTAAACAAACTGGTTGCAGTCGCACATAACTGATTTCATTGCTTGCTGGCTTTCATGAAGACAACCTCAAGAAGCTTCCAGAGAAAAACTGTTGGCAAGACTAGATTAAAGAAATTTAGCTGGTGTTTTTTTCCAGCCTGAGGTCCACCAAATAAATAACAGCCGTAGTCTGTGAGAAAGTTGTCTATGTTTCCTGGTGTGTTAGAAATTCAGAATTTTAACAGGGCAATTAATATGGGACAATGGGAGTTTCAATGGAAAGTAAAATATTGCATATAATGAACATGATAGAAGTTAAAAAGCCTTTGCTCTGTCCCCCTCCCCTTCTTTTAAGAGCCTTCTGATCTGAAGCCAGAGAAACCCATCTCCACTAATAAAATAATGTTTCCTTAAAGGCAATAGAATGCTGACAGACAGCCCTGTTATCAATCAACATTTAAAAAGCACGGGAGTTTTAACATCTGTGCCAATCCTCTTACATCTCTGTCTAGCCAGGAAGATCTCTGCTGATAAAGAAGATGATAGAATATTTCCTCTAACCATAAAAGCTATATTTTCTCCTTTCTCGTCATAAAAACATTTCACTCACACCAAAGGCTAATAATTGTGTATAAACCTTGCTGATGTGTCAGTGTGTGGTCAGCTGTCCCAGGAACAAGCTTTGTGCTGCTTCTGACCCAAATAAAATAAGCCTCTTCCCAAGCAGCTGCCTTAGCGTTTTTTTCTCCTCGGAGAAAGGATCTCGGGTAGATTCTTGCAACAATTGGCATCTCCAAGATGGGACTCTGAAACTGACTTGATGGACAGATCTGGGCCGGATAAGCTTTTCACCACTGCCAGCAACAACAGACCCTTTTGTCTGTAGGTAAGCTTCCCCGGACCCTGCCTGTTCAGGAGGAGGTAGTAAAGGGAGTCTTGAGTTCAACAGCTGCTTGGAAAGAAGGTGAGTACCACCAAATTGTTGTGCTTAGTGGTGAGCGTGGATGTGTAAGTACATGAAGGGGGAATCTCCTTTTCCTCCTCTGCAATAGGATCTTGTCTTTTTTGTGCTATTCCTAACCACACCTGGCCTCTTACTAGCCCAAAAAGCTGTGACCAAGGGAATCTGGAAAGCAAGGGTTTTTTTTGGCAAAAATACAAGCCCTACTGCAGGAGAAAAGGACTGTGTGTGTGTGTGAGAGAGAGAGAGAGAGAGAGAGAGAGAGAGAGAGAGAGAGAGAGAGAGAGAGAGAGAGAGTTTGCACTTAGGCAACTACATCCTGATCCCTGAGTAGAGTCCAGCTGTATTAGAAGAAAGATCCCTTACTCTAGCCAAGCCAGAGTCCTTTCAGACCTAAGGTGTGGAAGCAGTGAGTGGGTTCAATACATAAAAATAAAGGGATGCTTACCTCCCTAGGAGATCCCTTGGGTGCACATGTGCACTCCAAACTGACCACGATTGGATAGAATGGGGAACACCTTGTTAGGAGTTCTGCCAGGATCTCCATAGGGGAGGTTGCTACAAGCATGGGATGACAAAAATTGCCTGAGCAAAGTGCGTGCACAACAATTATGCTGGCTGGGGAATTCTGGGAGTTGAAGTCCACACGCCTTAAAAGTTGCCAAGGTTGAGAAGCACTGATGTAGGGAATGGAGATGCAGCAGGCAGTCAGATTTGGCAAAATAAAGGTACTTTCACAATAAAAAAAGAGGAAAACTCTGATTTTTCCCCATATCTGTATTTTGCAATCATTGAGCAATGGATATGTTTATTTAGTTTTTTTGCCTTTGAAAATGAATGTCAGACCCACCCTAGTTGGCCTCTCAGGAAAGTAAGACTCTTGAATCCATTGAGTTGAAAAAGAACTTTTACTGAGAGAAACTGGATGCAGTAAAGTCTGGTGGAATCTGAAGGTACCGTGTGTAAAGCAGTTCTTTTGGTTTCACTATCCCAACCCCCCTGACCAATCCCCTGGCAGCCAATTTGATGCCGAGAAGATGTTTTGAGAACACTGTGGTGCTAGTTCACACTCAGGGTGCGAAGGCCTTGGAACTTGGCAAAAAACGGCTGGGAAGGAGTCCGTCCAGTCTCCAAAAACAGTCCCTCTCCCTAATTCCCAAGTGAACAGCAGAAGTGGAAAAATCCCAAGCATGCCACCTCCCCCCCCCCCCCAGCACAATAGCAGGACACCAGAGTGTGGTGGACCTGACAATAAGAAAGTTAATGAAAAAAATGAGTTACTTATACAGTTGATTGCAAAATTGCTAAGCCTTCTTTAAAAGTACCTTTGAAACACGAATCAAACTAAGATCTAAGATGAAATTGACTATGGTGTATAAAACTAAGATCTCTGATTTTTTCTTTCTTTCTGCGTATGTATGTTATGTGTATTAAAGTCTTTGTGTGTCCTTGAGGTGAAAGAATAATGAAAATAGTGCAGAGAAATTGATGACGCTTTTATACCTCTGTCAAATATCTTTAATCACCAGAGACAATTTTTTAAAAAATTCTGTTAGGAAAATGTTAAAATAAGTCAAATATATATCTTCACCCTTGTTTGCCTGGCCAGTAAAACAGGGCGAAGGGAGCCATGTTCCCTTTTCTCTCCCTGTACTTTTAAGAACAGCCCAAGTCTGTCACGAGGGAATGTTCTAAATTCATTTAAAACTAAATGAATTTTGGATTGTAGGTATGTTTTAGCTAAGTGTATTGTGGGAGGATTTTGTCTGTAAACCATTAAGTATGCCTATCTGCAGATGCCTACTTTTTTCTGTCCCCAAGTCTGTTTGTGTGTGCATGTCTTCTCTCCTGTTAGCTCATTTCAGTATACAAGGCAGAAAATAACTTCTTTTTCCCAATAATACCTTTAAGCTTTGGATTTTCCAAATTTTGCCTGCAAACTATTCACCCCATCCCATTCTACTTCTCCGTCTCTTCTCCCGAGTCTCCTCATCTCCTATCCAAATTCTCTACAAGCTAAATGACAATAGAATCTGAATGATTCCCACTGTAACTGAAGGAACAACTTTGTGCAATTAAACTTGCATTTGAATTGGAAAAAAGAAAGTAGCCTATTATAAAAGAGTGGAAAAACTTGATGTTTGCAATGAAAAGACTAAACTCTCAGTAACAAAGGACTGTCTTTCAGATAGATTCCTTTTTTCTGAATGCTCTAGGAGGGGAGAGGTTTGGGCATTTTCATTTACTTTATAAGCCGTCTTCCTTGAAAGGTGTTGAGTCTAATAAATTTGATCTCAAAGGGTCTCTTTTGTGTTCTAAGTCTGAGATTGGGAGTAGAGAGCTGAGGCATTCCTTTCAATCTTCATTCCCCTCTGCTTGCTCATTTTTACCCGCAGATTATCCCAGAACTGAGGTGAGGATTCAAAAGATTAGGAAAGTGGGGAAAGGGCTACCAATATGCTCCACCTTCTTCTTTCCCCACCTCCTTGTACAGCATGTTGAGTTCTGGAACATGGGGCTGGTTCGGATCATATCCTCATGATATTCTGTGTGTTTCTTAATTTTTTTGCTAAGGTATGCTTGATTTTTAAAAGTATATGCTTTGTTTGTGGGTAAGATGATTGATGGTTATGTAAATGGAATATTGATAGCAAATGGAAAGGTTGTTTAGTGTGTAATGTGTGTGTGTATCAGGATCTGAATGATTTCTCTCTGGTTCTAGCCAAAGGACCAAAGATATAAAGCTTGACGTGCTTCTGCTTAATATAATTTAAGATCTAGTAAAGCATGTGCATTTGGAAGTGCTTGCTACTACAAAAAGGGGTGACAAGTTATTATTAAATGTAGATACTAAATCTGTTGTCCTTTTCCTTGGAGCAAAGGGAAAAAAGGCAAGAAAATTTAAAAAAAAGAAAAGAAACAGAGCTACCGGTAGTTTGGTCTAAGTGGTTAAGGCACTGGGCTGGAAAGTAAAGGAGATTGTGAGTTTACATCCTGC